GGGCGGCCGACGAGGCAGCGGCGGCAGCGGTCGCGGTCGGGTGAGGCCCGGACGCCATAGTTTCAGCGAGCTGCACGCACGCTCAACGCAGCCGGAACCCGGAGCGAGACTAACCAGTGTCCTCGGCGCGACTGATATTCCCGTGACCGCCGGGTTCTGGGCCGCTGCACGCAGCGTGCGCTTCCGCCATGACGTCACCACGCCCGGCCGCCGCGCGCCAACTAGTCCCTCCAGGCCGCGACTGCGCCTGCGCACGCGCCTGCGCCCGAGCGCGCCCGGCTGTGCTGTGAGAGCCGGGGCCACCGACCCGTCTGCTTGGGGTTCCGAGTCCTCCAGGTGCCGTCCCTACTTACACAAGTCTCAGCCGCGTCGTTCGCCGCATTAGACGAAGAACATACACAAGGGGACTTTAGAAGTTCCCGTGTCACCAGGCTAGAGCTGGCACGTTCCCTGTCGCCCCTGCGGCCGCCGCTCCGCCCCGCGCCCTCCTCTGCTAACTTTTCCCTGTTGAGCGGCGCGGGTTCGGTGTGTGAAAGAGGAAGCGTCGGGCCGATTTTCACTCCCTCGCTGGCGGGTGGAAGTGGTAACTGCTGTCATGTGTGGACCTACTTGTTTAAAACGCTCCGCGAGGAATATGGAGAGGACTGCTTTACAGTATTTTTAGAAAACCAAGGTGAACAGTATCGGTGCTGAAAAACAGCTCGAGGGGCGCGTGGTTCCCTGGGGATGGAGGTAGGGTGAAGGCGCAGGACTAGGAGCGCGGCCGCCGTCAGCTCTGCTTGCGAAACTCACCCCCGCCCCCGCAGCGCCGCCGCTTTCCGTAATCGGGAAAATCCCTAGTCCAAGAATAATTTTAGGACAAGGTGAATTGATAATGCTTAACAGCGTGGGTATTCAGCGTGAGAGGAAATCAAACTCATGATTTAAACAAACTTACTTTCTTTGATAGGAGCTAGCGATTCCCAAAACACCTTCAATCTCTAAAAAACATTCAAACTACTAAAATTTAAAGTTGGGAGGAAAGAGTACGTCTTGGTTTACCACTACCATTTTTTTATCCCTCAGTTGAACAACTCTGGGAAATCCTCTAGATGAAACCAGGGAGGTTTCACATTTGTACTATTACCTTGGGGTATTTTTAAAGGTAATTGACTTAATTATGAAAAGTGCATTGAAACTTGGGTCTATAGGGCTAAAGAAACTTCAGTATATTTTTTAATGACCTCATGGAAGCAAAACCTACTTTTAACACCTCGTTTAAAAAACATATCAACCTGGGAAACAGTTAGTGTAATGGCTATGTCGCTGGACTCCCACATAGTCGACTGCAGTTCGCGTCCCAGACTCGGTGGCTGAAAACTCACGCCGGCGCGTGTGCGTGCATGCCCAAGATCCTGAGAGTAGGAAGGAGGAGAAGGGATTGCGCGTGACCATCCCCCCTGGGGGATGATTTCTCACTTTCTGTCTCTATGTCTCTCTCTGTCTGGCAAGTGCACACACCCTATAGTGAAAAAACCTCTCCAAAGGGGGGGGGGGGAAACCACATCGACCTTGGAACTAGTAGATGTCATTGACAGCAGTTTGAGTCCCAGACCAGTGCCTTAAAACTCAACATAGGGGGGGGAGGACCAGCGGATAGCATAATGGCTGGACTCCCATGTAGCCAACTGCAGTTCAAGTCCTGGACCCGGTGGCTTAAACTCATGCCTGGAGTTTTTGCTTGTGTGCCCAAGATCCCAAGAGGAGAATGGAGGAGAAAGGATTGCTGCATGGCCATCCCCCCTGGGGGGGGATTTCTCACTTTCTGGCTCTCTGTCTCTGTCTTTATGGTGAGCGTATGTGCCCTATAACAATAAAACTCTCCAAAAAATAAAAATAAAAAATAAAGCTCAACATAGGGCTCATGTGCGTGCCTGCCCAAGATGCCAGAGGAGAATGGAGGAGAGGGGACTTTGACATAGCCATTTCCTCTAGAGGGTGGTTTCTCCCTTTCTGTCAGTCTGTCTCTCCAGTGAGCACACATGCCCTATACCAAAAATCTCTCTAAAAAAATTAAAAATAAAAAACATATCAACCATACTTAGTCAAGTCCTCTACATCAGTGGTTCTGAACTACGCTGTATATATGTGTATATTTAATAATTAGTATTAAATGTAATTTATAGGAGGCTGTTAATTTGAACTGGACTCCATTAGGCCAAACACCATGCCTAAATGGAGTCACTCATTAGCTAAAGTTTCACATCACCAGGTTGAAACTAAGTTGCTTATCTGATCTGAGAAATGAGAACAATAATAGCCAAAGGCCATAAACAGACCAACTTCAGCCTCATTCTAAGGACAGCTCTGCTTTAACCTTTATAAGAAAAGTAACTTAGAAATGACCAATCTGGGGACCAGCAGATGGCCTAATGGCTACATCGCTGGACTCCCATGTAGCTTACCACAGTTCGAGTCCTGGATCTGGTGGCTTAAACTCACGCCAGGCACCTGTGTGCGCAGGACCCTGAGAGGAAAGTGGAGGAGAAGGGATTGCAGCATGGTCATCCTCCCAGGAGGTGATTTCTTGCTTTCTGTCTCTCTATCTCTGGTGAGCACACGCACCTTATAGCAAAAATCTCTCAAAAAAAAAAAAAAAAAAAAGACCAATCTGATTTTTGCTCAATTAGCTTTCCTTATCCCTTCTCTGTCTATAAAACCAATCTCTGAGCTGGCCTGGTGGTATAGCAACTAAGAACTATGCAGAGGAAGCCAGATCCCATGTCGCTGACCTGGGTTCAAATCCAACAAGCAGAAAGCATAGGGGATCCTGACAGAGAACTGGAGGAAGAAGTACTGAAGTGTGAACACACCCCCTTAGGGCGTACTTTGTCTCTCTCTCTCTCCCTCCCTCTCTCCCTCCCCACCTCACATACACATAGTCTTACCCTATGGCATTAAGAAAAACAATTATGAGGCCCAGCCACAGTGGCACAAGTGGTGGGGCGCCAGTGTGTGATGCTGGAGCCAGATGGGAAGACCCAGGTTCAGACCCTCATCCACCTGCACATGTCCACGGTGCCTACAGGCATACCAGATGGGCTGATCTGGCTTATGGGAGGCTGGGGGTAAGATCGTGCAAGGCATGGCTCTGTAGGAGGTCATTTCTCAGTTTTTTAGCAAAGATAAGTTATGACTTTGACTATCCTTTTCAAGGTCAAATTCCTAAAAAAGAAAGGTTTGCAAAAAAATTACACTAAGTACGTAAGTAACTCTAAGTTACTCAGTCTATGGTCATACCACCCTGAATGCACCCAGTCTAAGTTACTCTGAGAAAGGTTCTTCCATGTACCTGTTTCTGAAACGTCAGGTATTAAAATGTGGAGAGACTGAAGATTTATTTAGAATTATGAAGGATTCAGAGTTAGGAAAAATAGAACACACATTCAAAGGGCCCAGCCTCTGTGTGCGCCGGCAATAGCTTTCTGGGCTGAGGTGCCGTAAGCCACATAGCCCACTAGAGTTTGTACCAAGTTGGCCTGAAACTTTGTGTGTGTGTGCTCAAGATCCTGATGAGCTGGAGGGCTGTGGGAAGGAGATCACAGCTATGTAAGGAGACCCTGTTGAGGGTACTTAAGTATGTATATGCTTTCATGAAAGAATTTCTAAAATCAATTAATTGTGTAAAAGCACTAGTAGAAATGAGTCCGGGCAAGTGAGACTGTTCAAAGGTAGATGAGTGCTTTGTCACTAAAAGAAATGGAATGGTAAGTCTACGATTTCAAAAAGGAGAGGTCCTGCTAGTAGACTGAGTTTACCTATCTCTAAAAGAAATCCAATTATAGGAGCCAGCAGTTGGCTGGACTCCCATGTAGTCGACTACAGTTCGAGTCCTGGACGGGTAGTTTAAACACATGCTGGGCACATGTGCCTGCATGCCCAAGATCCCAAGAAGAGAGTAGAGGTGAAGGGATTGTGGCGTTGCTATCCCCCTTGGGGAGTGATTTCTTGCTTTCTGTCTCTGTCTCTCTCTGTCTTTCTGGCAAGCGTACTTGCTCTATACCAAAAACTTCTCAAAAAAAAAAAATCCAATGATAAATAAAATTATATTTTTACTGTTGCAAGACAGGTAGACTTCACATGACAACAGAAGAGACTAGAGGCCTTGAAGAGACTAGAGGCCTTACCGAGGCCTCCCTGGAGCTACTGAAGTATATTCCTAATGCTTGAATTAATTCTCATTCCATTAGACTGCAGCCTTTCAGGGAGTGTGTTTTTCATTGATTTTTGAACTTAAGTTTCTTTAATCCTAAAATCAGAAATGACATCTCTTTCTTAATTTCATCTGTAATAACTGTTCACCAGTAGATCATAAGAATTCAGTAATGCACCACCAAAATTTAGACTAAGAGCAAATGAGTGTAAGTTCCCACCTAGAAGCTACACTCTCACTAGAGAGAATGGTATTCAGAAAGACAGCTCTTACGGTAGCCAAGAGGTGAAAACACAGGCAGAAAAGGGAAAAATCATGGTTGATGTCATCAGGGAGAACAGGGAGCATCTGACTTTATGCATGGAGTCAAATGACTGTTTTTTATTTAGTTCCATGGCAGCTATCTGATCAGATACATTCTGGTCTAGTTGCTCTTGTCATTTATAGAAATAGAGTCACTTTGGGACCAGCAGTTGGCATAATGGCTGTGTTGCTGGACTCCTATGTAGTCGACTGTGGTTTGAGGCCCAGACCCAGTGGATTAGACTCATGCCAGGCACACGTGCGTGTGTGCCCAAGATCCCGAGAGGAGAATGGAGGAGAAGGGATTACTGCATGACCATCCCCCCCTGGGGAGTGATTTCTTGCTTTCTGTCTGTCTCTCTCTGTCTTTCTGGCGAGCATACACACCCTACAGCGAAAAACTCTCCAAAAGAAGGAAAAGAAATAGTCACTTTGAATGTGATTTATTGTAATTAACACATAGGCATGTACTCCTTGGTGAATCCTGTAGCACTTCCTTGGGCATTCCCCTGCAGGTTCTGCTGAGAATTAGTCCTGAGACTCTGGACAGCCATAGTTTTCTAATCTTCAAAGTGAAGGATTCTGGAAGAGTCTAACTGGGTCTCTTGTAGGTCTAAAATTCTCTAACTCTGGTCATCCACATATCTTGAACTTTAAACTCATCTTTGGTTCTTATTCTGTATTTTTAAAAATATTTACTTACTTCCATTTGTTATTATTTTTAAAATTTGAAACAGAGACAAAGAGAAAAAGGGTAAGTGAGAAAGCAAACTGCCAGGTCCAGGACTTAAACCACCGTCAGGCGTGTGGGAATCCAGCACCTTAACTACCACACCACCTGCTGGCCCCGGTTCTTATTCCATTTTAATTGTCAAGTCCTGTTGGTTGTTTCTTCAAGGAGAGAAGTTGTTCTGCACCAGCCTGTTCTGTCTGCTCTCTCAGTGCTCTATCTGCTGTTACCTCCTGACTGGACTATCACAGTGGCCTCTCAAATGGTCTCCTGACCTCTATCTTCTCCCATCCCATATCCTTCCTGACAAATCTCTAACCTTTTTTAAAATAGCAGTTTCCTTACCTCACTTCCTTGAATGAAAACTTTGAAGACAAAGACTAGAGACCAAGCACCCTTTGGCACTTGAGGCTCTCCCAGTCTAGATTTACCTTGGCACTCATTTCCTTACCATGTTGCTGCCTAACCTATTCCCGACTGTCTCTGCCTGAACCAAGGCCAGCTGGACCTGCCTCTTCATTACAAACCTGACATTTTCTTTTTTCTTTTTTCTCCTTTCAGGTTTTTACCATGGGGCATGTTTGCTCCTTGGAGAGACAAAGAGAGGGAAAGTGAGAAATAGCCCAGGGGGATGGCCTCCTCACAGCCATGTGCCAACATCCTCCTCCTCTTGGGATTTTGGGCATGTACATACACTTGCCTGGTGT